TTGAAATTGTCTGTTGTAAGTTTCATGTCCCTATGTCTGTAACAGGAGAAACGCGCGCTTTTCTGGAAAGTAGATTAAAAGACAGAGAAAGTCCTATGGTCCATAAAAGTCATGCTGTGGTTAAGAGTCATGTGATGGTCACGTATAGATCCCGTGTTTGCAGGCCTGAGGGCGTCAGTTAATTTACTTCCTGTGCCTACACTGGTTCCATACATTAGCTATCACGAGGTATCTATATGTCGTGAAAGCACTTTTCAGTCCTGATACAAAAGATCTCTGTGTTATCACCTGATTGGATTAGTTCGTCATCACTCCTCTGAGTAGATGAGACAAGACTGACAGGAAGTCGACCCAGAATATTGGAGTCATGTGCGTGGTTAGTTTAGACCTCATGCTGGTTGATGGGGGGAGATCTTTAGATCCTTCTGTAATATTTCTGTTTCATAATTCACGTGGTGAATCCACAGCTTATGGGGGTCTGTTTCACAAGACAGAGACCTTACACACCCCTTTAAGGCATGTTATCAGTTTCAAATTAAACAAGAGAATCTTGTAATTCCTTTATTTTTTACACAGACTCACCTCAGGAGAATGGTGGTCATGTTAATAGCAATTGCATTTTCTAAGTGGTTAAACTTTTGGTTTTACAACCCTTTGTTACAACCATACATTTTATCAGCTCATGCATTCCCATGGGATTCCAAACCACGACCTTGGCATTGCTAACGTTATGCTTAAGCCTTTGAGCTACAGAAACACTTTTAACCTGGCGTACATTATACTTAACATTCCACATACAATCATGTGACACTCAGGGGGCTGAAGTGTCACAGTGATTTACTAGAAAAATTACAGACCCGTGAGCTACATTATAGAGCAGTTTCTAAAACCGTAATTTTGTACCGCACTAAAAAGTTCTGCAAATGACTGCAAGTTCATTAATTGTTTGGGCACTTGTTTTATGGCTCAGTGCATGTTTGCTTGTGACTCAAAGGCTTGACTGATGCATGTCGACATCATTGTTAACTCTAATTAATGCAATGCACTGAGTCAATGGGATTGTCTCATCATCTCAGTGACTTTCATAATTGGTGAAAAATCAACAATCAGCACATAGAGTGGAAGCAAAGTGACATGAACTTTGAGATGTGTGTACACACACGCACACATTCAGTCGACTGCAAGAATTTTCTCTTGGATACAAAGTCACAGAAACAAATATCCAAACTCTGGTATAATTCCCAAGGTTCAGAGAGGTTTAACTTATATAATTGTTCTTCTAATCACACATTCATAATAGAGGCTAAGATTGAGAAGCAGAAGAGAGCGAGAGAGAGATAGTGAGAGAGAGGTGGGGAGGAGAGGGAGATGCAAAATACTTTTTGACAAGGCGTCCCTTTCAAGTCTGAAGGTTTGATGTGCTAATTACATGCAAATATATGCAAACGAGCCTGCTTGGTGCCCAAACCCAGGCAGAATGTGTGAGGCACAATTGCAGTCTGAGGAGCGGAGCATGTTGGCTATAAATAATCAAAGTAAAGAGGAAGTTGTGATTTCACATTAGCCTATTTGAACAAATACCGCATTTTTGGTACAAGGGCAGACAAGGGGACTGATAAAGAGTGCATCCTCTATGATTCCTCCCATCCATCTATTCTGTTTCCTGTGGCAACTGCCTGTCTTCCAGTCGCGTATACACGTACTTGCCTCAAATAAGCTGCCAGTTTTATGGTGAAGATCCTCATATCAGATAGGGATGTGCAGTCGAGCCAATATTTGTATGTGTATCTGTAGCTGCTGCAATGACAAAACAGATCTGTATCTGTATTAGACTACAACTGGATGTGGACAGGGCTAAAATGTAAGCCAAAAATCACAGGCCTCTTTAAAAACAAACAAACAAATCTCTATTCCATTTATAGTTTTCATGTGGCGAATATGCCATGAATAATTCATAAAATTCCTTTTTTATCCCAGGTGAAAAAGAAATATATTTAAATTGTGCTTTTTCAGACATACTTACTATATTTAAATTATACTACACTAAGTGCATATTAAATTTATTATTTTGAAACAACTTTAAGTATATTAAGTGTATTTCAAGATATGTTTAAGTTTGATTTTAATCTATTTGTAATATATTTAATATATTGAAATTGTGTTAAAATGGAACCACTTTAAGTATATTTAGTGCAATTTAAGTGTATTTCTTAAAATACATTTAAAATGTCCTTTTAATACTTCATGAACTACAGTTAAGAGTATATTTGAAGCATCGTTTTAATGTACTTCAAGTACATTTCAATTGTATTTCAGCTCATTGGAAATGCATTAGCATTACACTACTAGTATATTATAAAGCTGCTTTTTTCAGTATATACACACACGTACACACTTTGATATCTAGAAAACTTTAATGTATTATATATTGTTGTGTACATTACAAATAACAATTACAAGCATATATACTTTGGTGAAAAACAAAACAAAACATACTATTAAATGTATTAAAAATGCACTTGAAATACAAGTATGTTTATAGTATATTTGTATTACTACAAACATACTCAAGTACATTTTAATACATTATAAAAAAACATAAATAAAAAAAGACTGAAATGCTATGGCAGAGCTATCTTTTCCATTTGTAGAACATTTCAGTTATACCGGCCTTACTAAAAAGTACAGAATTTTACATCAATGAATAAATAAAAATTACAATGCAATTTTCTGAAGAAAAAAAATACATAAAAAAGACTGAAAAACAAAGTGCATAAGTGAATAGCTGTGTGTGTGCAAAGACTGAAGATGATAAAGTTCAAGCAACAGAATAGGGAGGGATGGAGGGGGTTTTGGAGGTGGACAAGGAGATGGCGTAGGGATGGGGAGAGGCAAAAGTGCGGGGATGATGGCAGGATGTCAAGTCAAGTCAAGTGATGATGCCCTGGCAGCTTAGATGGTGTTTGGCACATGGCACAGACCCAGAGCATCCCAGTGCTGACAACACACGGCGGAATCGAGGGAGCGAGGAGCCAAGATGTAGATGGTGTGGCTGCCAACATCTGGGGGCCGACCGATGGAGACAGAGCTGGTGGATCCGAAGGCGCAGATGGAGGGCTGATGGAGCTGAGCGTCGTCGCAGGTTCTGGAGACCTGGGCACAGCCTAGTCGTCCTGACTCCTGGCATACAATATTTTGCACCAGAGCCTTGCAGCTTTAGAAAAAAACAAAACAGAAACAAAATTAAATAACAGATTTTTACATGAATGACTGAAAGCAAGCACAAATTAGCCAGCTGGAATGGACACATTGCTAACATTTTTCTTTCAAGATTGACCAAATCACCCTCCATTAGGCCTGATTCAAAAATCTCTATAACAGAGGTGATACAACATGAAAATATACTTACTATTCCTTTGCTTGTCTCTGCACTCAGATTTCAGTTTGTCTTCTATAGCAGCTGATCTGAAAAACAACAAATGTTAATATTTCACACACACACAAAAGCAAATGATGATTGATGATTTGTTTTCTTTTTAAGAATGACAGTACGCTGAGAACAATGTACCTGGTCGGTAATATAGTCAAAAGCCTTCCCAGCCTCAGCAGTTTCAGATGTACTGTATGCTCTCATATAAGCAACCCTTCTTACAATTTAATCTTTGTTCTTATCTGTAATGAGAAATATATATTAGAAAATAAAGGCGATAAGGTTGTCAAGCTTGAACAAATATAAACACCAATCAACGAACACTACCACAGTTGGCTAATCAGCTCAAGACAAAGTAATTGTATGTTCATAATCATGGTTTTTCAAAGATCATTAACCTCATTACAATGAAGCCAAATTGTTCAGGAAATCAGAAATAAATAAATGCACAACTTCATTTTGCAAATAAAAGAATGTTAATGTTGTACATGTTATAATGACTAATTTTATTTTATTTATTTTTTTCTGCCAATGCATGTGTCAAAAACACGACTGGCACAGACAAATAACGTTAATTAAATCTTACCTGAAGTCACAGTGAGGTTCCAAAAGCCAGACGCCATACGCGCTTGCAGAAGCTGGTAAAAATAAGAACATACCGCTATATTTTCTAATTAATTTCATAGTTCCCCCAAAACAATTTGAATTCTGTCATCACTCACCCTTAAGATGCTCCAAACCATCTAAGACTTTCGTTCATCTTCAAAAGAAAAGCTGAGATATTTTAATAAAAATCTGAGAGATTTATGTCCCTCCGATGAAAGAAGATTCACCAAAGATGTTCATGTTTCAAAAAGTTGAAATCTCAAAAAAACATCGGCAAAGTAATCCATATGAATTGCGTGGTTTCCTCCAAGTGCCCTAAAGAGACACGATCGGTGACCGCTCTATATAATACTGTTTAAATTTAGACTTATATTCACATTTAAGAGACATTTGCACGCACATCATATTTTATATACGAAGCTCTCTGGGGTGAGCTCATTATCATACGAACCAATCAGAGCCGTTCAATGGCTCTGGAACCAATCAGGTTTAGTCAGTGTGTTGTTTGAATTTAAACAAGTACATGCAAGTTTTTTTTTTTTCGTATATGATGTTGAAATCCTTGTGGGAATTTCAGAAATATATATTAGAAAATAAAGGCGTCAAGCTTGAACAAATTTATAAACACCTAGCTTATTACAATTAATGTATCATGTAATGAACAACAGCCTAATCAACCAAAGTAGCATAACCTTTTAAGTAAAACTGAACAACATATTAAACAACATATTTTAAATATCGCAATGCTTAATAATAGTTGACAAACGTTTGTACATTGTAAATGTTAAAAATGTTTTTCAAAATATTGTACTTTTCCAAATATTAAAATTATAAATACATAAATATTTAAAATATAACCATGTGTAGGCCTACTGCAATATAAAGTACATTAAAAACCCACTAAAAGTGTAATCATTTTGTTATGTTCTTACACAAAGTAGACATAAAATATACTTTAAGTAAGGGTAACATAAGTATGTTTTCTGTAAATACACTAAAAAGTCACTAAAATGTATGCTTGTGTTTAGTATATCCCTTAAAAGTGTAACTAAAAATATATTTATTACCATAGTATTTCTACTATACTTTTTAGAAATATACTAATAGTGTGCTTGTGTTTAGCATATTCCTTAAAAGTGTAACTAAAAATATATTTATTGCCAAAGTATTTCTAGTATACTTTTTATAAATACATTAAAAGTATGCTTCTGTTTAGCATATTTCTTAGAAGTATAACTAAGCATATATTTAATACAAAAGTACTTCTAGTATACTTTTTAGAAATATATTAAAATGTAATTCAATATATTTTTATTGCACTTCAAATAAGCATGTTGGGAATACAAATGTATTATAAACATACTACTTGAATTTCAAGTATATTTTTAATACATTTAATACTACATCTTTTTCACCTGGGATAACAACCTTTATATAAAATAAAATGCTTAATAATAATATTATTAATAACAATAAACAGGTTTTAAATATTAATGTATTACAAATATTTAATATTATTTTATGATGGCTGAATATTCAGTCTACTGAATAATGTTTTTAAAAACTCTATTCCATTTATAGATTCCATATGGCAAATATGCCTTGTATAATTCATAAAATTATTTTTATCCCAACCTGTATGTAAAATAGAATGCTTAACAACAACAACAACAATAATTATTATTTTTGTTATTATTATTATTATTAATAATAACAATAATAATGATAAACAGGTTTTAAATATTAATATATATAAAAACAATAACAATACATTTAAAGGGGTCATATGATGTTGCTAAAAATAACATTATTTTGTGTATTTGGTGTAATGAAATGTTTATGCGGTTTAAGGTTCAAAAAACATTATTTTCCACATACTGTACATTATTGTTTCTCCTCTATGCCCCGCCCTTTTGAAACGCGTCGATTTTTACAAAGCTCATCTGTCTGAAAAAGCGAGGTGTGCTGTGATTGGTCAGCTATTCAGTGCGTTGTGATTGGCCGAATTCCTCAAGCATTTGACGGAAATGTTACGTCCCTTACCATACTGTGACAAAACCAATAAAACCCAATATAAACGAGGCATTTGTTTCATCCAGTGGGGACATAATTACTGATTATAATGACTTATACTATCTTTTTACTTTTTACGCGTTGCATCACGCCGCGTAAACATAAAACCATGTCTGCATTTGTGATCGGAGAAATGACAAACAACAAGCGCTACTCTACACTGCTCAAAACTCGCGTTTGAATCATCAGTGGCAAATCCTTTAAATATGAAAACGTACCTTCAGGCTGTGAGTCAGCATTATTTGTCAGCATCATAGACTGTGGTCAGCATGCGCGCCAAAGGGGAAACGGGAACTGAATTCACCGGAACACCGGCGGCTACTCTCCCAGGAAACAGTCCTCGTCCTCCGTAAAATGCGTTGCACACATCTGAATATTTGGTTTGAACTCTTCTGGAACAGTAGAGCTGGACGATTTTGCAAAAAAATAAAATCTTGATTTTTCTAGAATGTTTGACCGATTCTTGATTTTTTATGATTTTTAACTAGTCAAATTGAAAATGTAACAACATGATTCAAGTTACTTTTTCTTTATTAACCCTCTAGTTAAAGAAAATTCTATTCTAAGTGCAGCACACATGAAGTTGTCAACATGATGTAAACGCTAAACACATCACTTACATTTTTGCAGAAAAGATGCATAAACTACAAGTACATATAGTACAAACTTGTCTAATATATATTATGTGTTCAGAAATAATACAAGGAAAATT